TTTACTTTCATTTCCCTTGCTAAGGTCAGCCCGGCAATCAGCGCTTCATACTCTGTCTCATTGTTCGATGCCTCGATTCCGTACCGTAGAGCATACTCCATCTTCACCTTGCTTGGGCCGTATAGTATCAGTCCTGAACCGCTTCCCTTTTGGTTGAATAAGCCATCAACGTGGAGGATCCAGGGCTCCTCGCCCTAGGTCGGTACCATTCTGACTAGGCCTAGTGCCCCATTGGTTGACGCTCCCGTCGTGTGAGTGAGCTTGGTCAATTCGGGGGTTGTTGCGCCGAACGTGCACTCTACTACGAAATCCACCAAGACCTGGGCTTTGACTGTTGGTCGTGGCTCATACCGGATATCGTATTCGCTCAACTCAATGGACCACTTCGTTAATCTTCCAAACACCTCGGGCTTAAGCAAAATCTGCCTCAGGTCAATTATTGTCGATCAATGGCTCAAAAACTTTGTTTACAAGGCGCTGGAATGTTGCTCCAACATTTTTCAATCCAAAGGGCATGACCTTGTAACAATATAGCCCGAGGTCAGTTATGAAAGCGGTCTTGTCTTCGTCAGCGGGATCCATCCTAATTTGGTTGTAACTGGAATAAGCATCCAGAAACTCAGCAACTCGTGCTCTGAGGTCACGTCCACTAGGCGGTCGATCTTGGATAGCAGGAAGCAGTCTTTCAGGCAGGCTCTATTCAGGTCGGTGTAGTCAACGCACATGTGCTACTTGCCATTAGCCTTTTTCACCAGAACTGGGTTGGCCACCCAGCTCGGGTAATGGACTTCCCTAATGAAGTCTGCCACGAGGAGCTTCCCGACCTCCTCATCGACTAGCCTCCAACATTCTGGGGCAAGGTTACGTTTCTTTTGTCTTACTAGACTGGCTAAAGGGTCGGCATTAAGCTTGTGAGTTATAATTTTTTGATCAATCCCGGGCATCTCTACCGCGGATCAAGCAAAAATATCTAAATTTTCAAGTAAAAAACTTACTAGCTAGGTTCGAAGTGGTTCATTGATGACACCAATTTGAAGAGTTTTGGCTGGTTCGGCGGTAGAGACTGGTATGTGGACCGTTTCTTCTTTTAGGGCAGCTCGCTTGTCGGTATACTCCGTCGGTTGCTCGAGTTCGACATCTTTTGCCAACTTCGCTTTTTCTTTCAAAGCGGCCACATAGCACTTGCGGGATTTGAGTTGGTCACCTCGCACTACTTACACCCCGTAGTCAGTTGAGAACTTCATCGCTAAGTAGTAAGTGGACACCATCACACACAAAATATGCATGATAGGCCGACCTACTATTGCATTGTAGTGGGAGCGAGTCGTGACTACCAAGAACGTGTGCTCAAATCATACAATGTTTGGCCACATGCTAGCTTCCACGAGTACTGTGATTCGGCCAAGAGGCCTGACCTCCTCGCCACTGAACCTTATCAAAGGTGTATCTGCCAGTTTCAGGTCGCTTTATTGTAACTGTAATTTGTTGAAGGTCTCCTTGAAGAGTATGTCTGCTGAACTGCCTAAGTCTACTAAGATGTGTTTCACCTCAAAGTTGTTCATCCTTAGCTTCACTAGTAAAGCTTCATCGTGCGGGTACTGGATCATGTGCGCATCGTTCTCTGTGAAGTAGATCGGTTCTTCGAGTCGAGGTCGCTTTGGCGGATTTTCTCCTTCGTTCTCCAATTCATGGACCGAGGTCCTCCTAGCTGCTGATGTACATCCGATAATGATGGACCGCCGGGGATCATATTGATGACTCCGCAAATTGGCCTTTCCTCTGGCAGCTGTCGAGGTGGCTGCTCATTCTGCCTACTGGTCTCGGGGGACATTCCTCCTCTGGTCCCCCTGTCAGTCTGCTTTCCCACTCTCTTCTTGCAATATGGAATTCTTCAGGTACCCGCGACGAATAAGTTCCTCAATCTCATCGCAGAGATTGCTGCAATTCTCCATGCTGTGTCCATGATCTCGACGGAAATGGCAGTAGACATTCGGGTTTCTTGTTGCTAGATCTCCCCTTAATCTGTGAGGCCATTTGACGAAGGAGGAATCCTTAATAGCCATTAAGATCTCTCCTTGCTTAGCATTCAAAGGTGTATAGTTTATTTTCTCCACGGGTAAGGTCTTGGAGCACCGACCTGACTTGTGCCTGCGCGATGTATTTGGGCATCAATCCAGATAGACTTCATAATAAAGCACTTCATGAATTTATATCAGAGTATCGAAGCTGAATGTATTAAATAAGGATGAAAGGCAGTTTTTTTATGGCTAAGATTTTTATGCTTTTTAGACTGATCTGGGATGTGAGGAATTCATCTCTACACAATAAGTCTGTACTGAATCCACTTCAGCTGCTAGAAGATATATATGCAACACTTCTTACCTTCGAGCACAGCTGTTCAAGACTCTCATCCAAGCTTTATACACTCACATATAAATGCCTCAACAGAATATAAATTGTTCACAACATACAATATGCTCACCGACTGAGAGTAAAGTCTCTCTCCATATTTTCTGACTCAAAAAGCCTAGTCAACAATTTCTACAAGAATGATGAAGATGACTGGCTTATCCAGCCTACAAAGCAAAAAGTTTTACAGCTATTATCTCCTTTTGATATAGTATGTGTAAACCATGTAAATAAAGATATGAATAAGGTTGTACATGAACATGCTTATAATGCATGTAAATATAGTATGATAATAGAAAACCTGTGCAACGAAAGACTTTTTGGTAAGGGTGTCAATGGACTGATTTTGGATTAGACCCCGTCTAGTCCAAAATCAATTTGGATGGATTGGACGGACCAATAAGACATATTGGATTTAACCAATCCGATTCAAAATATTTATTAGATTTGATTGGACCTGGTCCATCCATAACAAATTTTTATTGGATTGAGTTGGATTAAACCAATATCCGGTCCATTGATATAAGATAAGAATATATGTGTCAATCGACCAAGTTTGGGTTGAAACTAATTTAAATCCAATGAATTTAAACAAATTCCATGGTCCAAACATTGAATTGGACCTATCCAAATTGATCCAAAACATTCATTGGATTGGATCAGATTGGACCAAATCCGGTCCAATTGACACCCTACCTTTAGGTACTGATGTACCTTGATAAATGACAGCTTTCTGAGTTTTTCTTTTGGCAAAAAAAAAAAATCCCCTTTCTCTTTTACTTCCATACTTCCATTTAATTATCTAAACTTAATTTAATACTACATGTATATTCTAATTGATCGAGACACTTACTTTATTCAAAAATATCTTCTTCATATCTTAATCCCGAGTTATTTTCGGGTTAACCCAATATACCAATGTTTTCAAAATCGGACCGGACCTGATGATCGAACTAAAACAATCAGGAATCAGTAATTTGACCAGTTCTGTTTCACCCCAAAACCGATTTTTGGCCCAAAATAATTGACTTGAATAGCAAACTATTAATTTAGGTGATTGAATCGTTGACCTAGACAATAGTTTTTGATCGTTTTTATTTTTTTTTATTAAAATAGACTGTCTATTCAAATTGAACAATAGGTGCCATCTCGGAATTGATGCCAATTTACGGATGGTGTATAAAATGGGGTTTTTGATATTTTAAATTTTTATAGATATGCAGTGGAGTTCAGAAATATGCATGGGATGAGTGCGTAGAGAGTAGAGAGTAGAGACGTAGGTATACGTACCAATGCTGCATATCTGGGGATAATCTTTGTCCTAGGGCCCACCCAGCTTAGCATTTATGACAAATGGGAGTCGGGCCCAACATCACCACACCCACATGGTTGGGAGGGACTAGGGAAGATTCTATGGTCCTTAATGCCTTTCTCTCATTCATTGTTTATTTTTTTTGACAACAACTGGGACATGAAAGTACCAGACTTAATTTATTCAACCATCATATCACTTTACGTGGCTGATCATGGCCCAATTGAACCATACATAATCAAATAATCATGTTCTAATCACGTGACGTGAAAATCTACAGAGTAGAGACACAACTTAACCCGATTTCAATCAATTTTTGATACTTATTGGGTGGTGGGGTCTCACATATCACATTCATCTTACTATAATAATTTACAAAATTTATATATATTTGCATAGAGTGATGAATTCGTGACAGTAAGTGAGAGACCATGACCATGAGCACTATTTTTTTTTTCCATATTTTAATTTCCTTCCAAAACCTCTTTTTATAGTTTTTAGTTCCTTCTCCGCCTCTTATCTCTCATCTCTCATAATCATAATCTCTCTTGTGTGAAGTATGAACCGACAGACACGAGCACGGATTCCTGGATCGGCATTCGGCAGGCAGTGAACTGTGAATATAAACATCGGATTCGCTCGTGCATGCGGGGCCAGAAACCGGCGGATAAAGCGTCTCCAACGTGTATTCAATGAATTGTGGACCAACGCGTGTCCTATCTCAACCCAGTTGAGCTAACCATATTGTAGATTCTTTTCTTCTTCTCCCCAGTCCCCACTCCGTAGGCCGTAGCCCGTATGTAAAAATTTGATTGAATTGAACCAACGCACTCATCGGGAATATTTATCACTACTCATTAACTGAGTCTATTCTGACACCGCATGCTCTGCTCTGCCTCTGCCTCTACTATTGCTGTTATCAAATCAAACAAAATGTATTTATCGTGGTCCACGTGGTAAGCTTAACACCTTACCGCCGTTAGATCAACTAAGTTGATGTTATCCACGTGGCTAGAGGAAGACACGAGAAATTGGTAAAATAATATTGGCGAATGGCAGGCGAGTCATTGCTCATTAATCAATCAATTATCACTGCTGCTGTGCTGCATCAGCCAGTCCACCCATGGTCAAAAATCAAAATGGTTTCTAGGCGTAGGCGACAGACAACATACCAGACCAATCCAAAAACTAAGGATCTCAAATTATCTATCCAGCCTGGCCCTACAAACAAATTAAATATTGAGAAAAAAAACAGCAGCTACAGCCTACAGACTACAGTTATTATTCAAAGTTCAAACGCTTCTTCTCCACGACTTCCAAACCTTCCTTCAGCTGGCTTTTTATTTACCCGGACTCTGGTCTGGAGATCCGCACCTAAGAAACTACCTCTCTCTTTCATTTTCACCACTTTTCATTTCAAATCCTTCTTTATATAACAGCCTCTCCTTATTCCTTTCATTTCTGGCCTCCATCTCTGCTCTCTCCTCTTTATCTTCCTCTCTCTCTCCCTCTGCCATGTTCGTAGAGGAGCTCCTGTCCAAGTTTCTGAAGGTGAATTAATCTCTTTCTCCACCAGCCATTTTGTATCTTAAATGCTCACTGAATGTCTGATTCAGCCCTTCTAACCTGTCGCCATTTCTGTTACTCCTATTGCTTCCTCATCCTATCCTCCCCCTCCGGCCGTCCCCACTGTAAATCTCCATAGATCTAGAACAGCATCGCTACAGGATTGAGCTTTCTTCTTCTAAGTTCGAAGCCATGGCTTCGCTGAGTTCTGGTCCAGCCATCGAGTCCAAACGGAGAAAGCCTTTCTTGGTCGAACAGAGACCTCTAATGCTGAAAGATTTTCTCAGTGAAGATTTCAACTCATGTTCATCGAGTGGCTTTCAATCGTTTCCTCGTCGTTCATGTTTTACTACAGTGGGAAATCTACTTGAAATGGATCGCAAATCTAGAGCCTCCAACCAACGGAGAAGACTGTTCAGAAGACGATCCAAGTCCGCATCGACGACGATTTCTGCATTGCATAAGGCATCGGAAGCCGTGCTAACTGCTATCAAGTACTTCCCATTCTCCCCTACTAAGTCCCCGTCGCCACCGCAGAATAACCGACCTAAACTAGGGATCCTACCAAGAAGCCTCTCCCGGAGATTGAGAGGGAGTTTCTGGAAAAAGAATGATAAAGAGGACCACGAGATCAAGGTCACTACTAGGGTTAAAGACATTGTACGGTGGAGATCATTCCGAGATTTAATCGAGGAAAAACCAAAACCGTTGGATTTCTCTTCTTCTCTACGAAGTAGAAGTACCACCACCACCACCAATACTACTACCACTACCTCATCCAGAACAACCAGTAACAGTAGCAGTTGGTCTGATAGTGATTTCACGTCGGATTATTTACAGTCGTCTAGTGTTAGTTCTGAGTACTCGGGTGAAAATGAGGGTGAAGAGGGTAAAAGATGTTCATCAGAACCAGACGAAGAGAAATTAAGCAATAAGGCCAGTGAGCTTTCTGTGGAGACAAATGCCTATGCTTTACAAACTAATAAGGTGAAGGTGAGATTACTTCATGCTTCGCTTCATTATAAAATTTTCTGTCTGCAGTCTGCTGGTGAACCTGCTTAATTTGATAATTTTATTTAGGCTTCCTGTTTCCTGTTTGGGATTCGATTTTCACTGATCGCTGTTCCTCTGGGGATTTGGCTCACTTTACTTGGTTTTATCTGTTCACTGTCTGCGGCTTGGGTTCTTTAATCTTTTTATTTCGTTCTCAATCTCAATGAACTTCGAGGATATTTTCGTCATTTAAGCAATTACCTTTCCTTCTTTTCTCCAATAATTTCTTGAAAACAACCATTTTGATAAAGCCACTCAGTCAGTACTCAGTATTATTGGGTAAAATTTCAAGGGTCATTTATGTTATTACCCAAAAACCCCAGTAAGAGAAGTTGTGTTGTTGGCCATTTTGACTAAAAGAGGAGGGTATTCGGGTAATTTTATTAGTTACCTCTTTAGTTACCATCTGATCTGTCGGTGGGTGAACCAGTGATAGCTTTTGCGTATAAAGCTCTTCGATCGATTTTATATTCCCGGGCCCGGATCTCGGATCTCCCTTACCCGTGTGACTTTGTCTTTACTATTGAGAAGGAAAAGCAAACAGAGAACTGCTGCCTTTTTTGTTTTTCCTTTGTTTAGTAGCGGTTTGACCTCTCCCTGTCCCCGGGCATTATTGAGATAAAATACTCGTTTGTTGTCTCAATTTTTTATTGTTTACAGTAGAGACTGGTCGTGAACGAGATTTTTATTTTCGTTTGACTAATCTGTAGACCTCTGTAATTAGTGAATTAATTATTCTTAAAAGAAGCTTCTCTGATCGATCTTGCTCTAATTTAACGTGAAGAGAGGACAGGACCCGCATCTAACTGCTCACCATGCTGTTCAGTCCAACATAGACATCTAGATTCGGCTCTTGAATTGGAATTTAGAAACCCATCTCCCTAGAGATTCCGCCCCCGTCTGAGGCCTTTTATTGGTTCCAAGAGATTAACCATTTTCCACTGTATCTCGGATGGGACAAGCTTATTTTGCCTTCTTACTATTTGGCATTTACCCAAGGGACAAATATGGTGGAATAAACCCGGGTGAAGCTCTTACCATCAGGACTGTACGCATTTTGGGGTTTGAAATCTTAACTGATCTAAAAGATTCTGACCGATTTCTTTTTATTTTTCTATACCCTTTCTTTTTTGCGAAGAGAAATCAATCCTATGATCATTCACTCCATTTTATTTTTGGCAACTCCTTATATAAAATCATAAATCACCACCTTGAATGCTTTTCTGTTAATTGTGCATTTCCTATTCGTCTAACATTAATTTCTGTAAATAACAGAGTGAGTCCCCGTACAGGGAGAAGGAGCAATTTAGTCCAGTTTCGGTGCTTAATTTTCCGTACGAGGAAGATGAGGAGACTGAGAACTCATCCTTCCACCAGAGCCTTCCAGACATTGAGAGTACGTCACTAAATAGTAAATTCTTCTCCCTCTTTTCATTTTCTTTTTTTTTTCTTTAATACATTAGACGATGATGTAAGGCCACATTCCAACAGCCTTTACAGCCTTAATATTTTACATGATATTCGTGAGCATGTACTTGCACTGACTGAAACCGTACTCAAACGTAAGCATTTAAAAGCAAAGCAAAGAAAATTTTTGAATAAATCCTACCCTCAATAAAAACATGAGACATTTCAAATCCACGGGTGGGATGAATCCTGACCGTGGATTTTCCATGGATTGATGATAAATCTATGGGCAGCATGCGGTTTATAAGGGGGCAACTAATAGATTGGGGGCTGTAATTTCAAAATTCTGGGTTGAAGTGTACTTTTCCGTAAATTTTGTAACTCCCACCATCAATAAAATCTTTCCAAGAGACCTACGATCAAATCTTGCTACCACTAGGGTTGCCTGATTCCCCAATAGTATCTTGTACTTGCCCAAACTTTAAAATGCAACAATTCAATATTCAAACTTTCAAAATGTACAGTCCAGTCCCTACTGTTAACAAGTTCATTAAGTGGCATTTGAAAAGACAAGTACCCTTCAAGTGTCATCTAATTCTCTTTATCAACCATCCAAACATTGATAAAAAATGCATATTCTATGACCCCAGCTTTCTTGAATAGAAGAGGTAAAGATTTGCATTTTTTTTGTCAACATTTGGATGGTTGATAAAGAGAATTAGATGACACTCGCATTTGCGTCTTTTCAAATGTCAATTAATAACTAGTTAATAGATGGTAAGTGACAAGTATTGGATTGGCACATTTTGAAAGTTTGGATATTGAGTTGTCACATTTTAATGTTCCAGGACCAAAGTGGCACTACGCCCAAAATATATGGTATTAATCAAGTATTTTCCTCCTGTAAACAAAATATTTCCAACACCCTGTCAATATTATTTAACCCCACACATTTCATGCATGGTAGGTCCCATTTTTATGGAAGGCCCCAATTTCGTAGTGAAATGTATAGGTTGTTGGAATGTGTTTTATTGGCAGGAGATTCCAACTCTTTTTCATAGAATTTCTTTTAGTGGGACCCATGGACTTGCAATTTGTTTGAGTTCACATTGGCACCCTAGATTATATCCACTGTGTTTTGGGAACACCCCCCAATGAAAAGTACTGGATATGTTCTCAAATGCAGGCTCAAATTTCCATGTGGAGCATTAATGTGGAGTTCAGTTTCTGTTAGTGCAAGCCAGTGCTTACCCATTAGAACAGTTTCTTGCAACCTTGCATTTTGGGAATATCTCCATGAAAAAAAATTAATTTGTCCTTGAAAAAAAATTGTCAGAATACTCTAGAAGTTTATCTTGCCCTTGAAAAAAAATTAAAAACCATTTAAACAATTGTCAATAATTTATCAAGTGATCAGCGACCGTGTTTACTATATTGTGCCATAGTAGATCCGGTCCCGAAATATAAGTTTTTCTGATGATCCCTGTGCTTTGATAATCAGCTTTGTGTGGGAGTAGAATAGAACAGCCAATTAACTTCTGAAATAGGTCTTTCCGGCAGCATAGATAGTCCCTTGGTTTTGTAGTTGGTTTGGTTCGTTAAAGTTTTGACAGAGTATGTATATGAACGCCATGGTTTAACAGGGGCCAAGCAGAAGAAGAAGCAGAAGATCATCCAACGGCATGGGAATCCGATCAGTCGGCTGGGACCAGTCAACCTTGAGAAACGGATTGCCTTGTCAGAGCTCGATGACTGGATAGAGTGCCTCCGTGGCTCGTCCTCCATCTCCATTCAAGATGACACCACATCACCAAAAATCCAAGTAGACGAAGAAGCAATTAAGGCAGAAGAAAGAGCAATGGAATTGCTTAATCATATCAAAGCAACAGGCTTATTGCAGAACCGTAAAGAAAACATGGGTCATATACTGGTTGATTTCTTTAGGGATGGAGTGACGGGTATGAACCAAGTGGAAGAAGGCAGCAATGAGGTTAATTACTACAAGTTGTTGAAGGTGGCCAGGGATTGGGTGGATGGGAAGCACTACGAGTTAGGATGGGGGTTTGAGAATGATAGGGCGGCTTGTTTTAGAGATGATATGGAGAGTGGAGGAAGGTGGAGCAAGTTTTGGGAGGAACAAGGGGAGCTTGCTTTGGAGATGGAGATTAGAGTTTGGGGATCTTTGGTAGACGAGTTGTTGCTTGATCTCTTGTCTTGAGAGATCTAACCTTGGAACAATAACATAAGAACAGATCGCTGGGAAAGACATACAGGTGAATGGTTGTCAAATTGCCCCCAACCTGCTTAATTTTATCAAATGATGAATAGACATTGAACTCGGAAGCTAATAGAGAAGGCTCAAAGAGTCTGGCTGTCCCAGCCAGGAAGTATGGTGAACAGTAGGAACCAGGGTGGTTATCGTCATTTAAATGATCAGAACCATAGCAAGAGAGAAGATAAATGTAGTCTTGTTGTATTGGAATTGAGATTTTTTGGAAATGGCAATTCATGTCCGATTGTCTTGACTCTTGAGTGAGCAATGTCAAGAGAGGGGCGAGAGACGGTTGTAACTTGTAACGGACAGGACGGATTAACGAGGTCGAGGAGCACACCTACTCAATGCTCAATGGGGGGGGGAACTGGAAAGGGCACAAACCCTTTTTTTTTTTTTTGTATTTTGGTATTCAACAACGCTATTTAATCACGTTCCGTTTGGTTCACCATTTTCGTTGGTAATTATATATTTTTTGTATAATAGATTTTCCCTTTTTCAAAAGAAAAAATAAGTGGTCGCAATGATTAAGTTCATGATTTAGAAAAGAACGTTGCATCTCTTTTCTTTTGAGATTATAATAGATGAAGGCAATTTTTAGGCTCTAATATCAATAAAATTAATATTTTTAATAAAATTTAAAAAATAGATTAATTCTTTAAACATAAGGGCAAAATTACTGTTCATCCTTCCTTCGAACGAACAATCAGCGGCGGCGCAGCCCTACCTCCGGCCCAATGCAGCAGTGATCTCACCATCCCTCTCCTTTTCTTTGCCGTTCTTCAGTCCACTTCCGTCCGCCCTCTCTCTCTCTCTCTGTCTGTCTTTCTCTTTTGTTCCCTTTCTACTCCTTTCTTTCTTTCCGTTTTAGACAGCGCTGCTATCTAAAACCAGAGGCAGCGGCGTTTTCCTCCTTTCACCGATAATTGAGAAACCTTATCTTTCTCTTTATGGTTTTCCTCGTATTCTCCCCCACCTACAACTCTTCTTATCCGTCTCCATCGTCTCTCTGTCTTACCTTAGGCCCAAGCTGAACGTCATTCTTCGCCCTCCATTTGTGACCGAACAGAGCGACGGCGATGGCGGCAGCCGGATTTTAGCGCATTGTTCACTTTCCTTTCTCATCTCAGCACCGAACAGAGACGGCGGAAGAACTACCACCAAAGCAGCGGCAGATTTGAACCATATTCCTTCAACGCTGCTTTCCTGTTCATCTCTGAGCGAATCATCGTAGTTAATTCGTCTTGCTTCCAGTTGACCTTTTGTCAGCATTCGTAGAACCCATTACTGTTCGAAGGGAAGTAACTCGTGACTGAAACTGTTTGAAACCCAGTCAGGCCGACATCCAAATCCAGATAACTTCTTCTAATTCTGTTTTATTGTTCTTAGATTTTCTCTCTTCAATCATTTTTGTCGGATGATTTTCTGATGAATAAATTATAAGAAGAAGATAATGAATAGTAATTTTATCTTTTTTATATATTATTTAAAAAATTAATTAATTTATTTTTAAAATTTTATTAAATTTATTACTTTTATTGATATTAGAGGTTAAAAGTTGTCTTTTATCTGCTATAACTCCTTTTTTTTTTTTTTTCTTTGTGTGTGGGTGTGTGCTGTTTCAAAAAACAAGGAAAATGGAATACTTGTAAAACACAATGATGCCACCAAATACCCATTTTTAAAATGTAGAATGATGACAAGAAGCACACACCTGCAACTGCAAATCATCCAAATCTCAAATATAATCGTGGTCTTATCATATTAGATGTAATTAACCCAATTGATAATAGGCTTACTGGGCCTTCTTTGGCTTCTCATGTTTAAGAGGTTAAGAAAAGTCAGGTTGAAACCGTTTGGTATATTGGGTTTAGATTCTCCTTGATAATTTTCAGTCATTTTATCGGAAAAAGAACCCATTTTTTATTGACTATTAGTTTCTATATTTTGGTGTTTACATCAATAAATCCACTTAAGATTCCCTTTTAAATGCAAATAATGCCCTCAAACTTATATTTTGAATGATTATTAGCCCTTTAAAATGTCTGAATTATTTCTCCAATTACAAAACCCAAATAGCACTTCTTTTTCTTGTACTTATCCATTTACGATAAAAACTATCCACAAACAGGAGTCCGGATCTCTTATTACTATTGGGCCCATTATACATATTGGGCTTTTTATGATTCATCTCTCTCTGTGAATTTTGATAAAACCTATTGATTATCGATTTTATGATGCCGGTTGATTGGTTACATCTTTAATTAAATGTAAAACATCATACTATAAAATGAAATGAAATTGAAAATAGCAGAAGATTCAAGGATGTAAGATTGATGATTACGTAGGGCACTGTTAAGAACCCTTAAAATGTTATAATCATAATTATGTACTTTGGTGGTTTCCTTGGATTAAGTTCCCCTTCTGCTGCAGTTTTGCAATGTATCTCAAGGATGAATTTTAGCTTCATGGCGCCTGGCAGCTTCAGATCCCCTATTTTAGGTGTGAAACTAGACTTGTGATCTGCTACCCACTAGTTGTTCCCCATCCCAACCCACAGAGCACGACCACCGTGTATTAGGAGGAGAGATATTCCCAATACATAGCTGTAATGTCTCGTGGGTAGAGATGTGCAAACAGCTTGTGGGTAGCAGATCTGAGCCTGTAAAACTAGGACAGTTACGGGCTTAGAATTTGTTAAACTTTAAATGGATCTTGCCTGACTGGGCCTAATGCGGGTAACTTTGAGAAACAATTGAGACCGAAAGTATAATATAAAAGAGGAAAGGAAAAAAAGAAAAATCAAAGTTAAACTAATATTTGATATTACCACTAAAATGAGATTTTGTTAATATTTATTATTTATATATTATACATATATTTTATAAATTAATGGTATTGAGTTTTGTTGTGGCACACCAACCTATCTCATGTATACCTATACTATCAACGCCTGTTGGGCCTGGAAAGCCCTATTTAAAATGGGCCTCAAAATTAGACGCTGGTCTAAACCAAGGGCTTACAGAATAGACCTAACCTACTCCAACTACTTTTTTTTTTTCGTAGAAGCTCGCTTTTTGGAAAATATTAATTTTTCAATGACCATTTATGTGAAACAAACATCATAAAATAGCTATTTTTAGAAGAAAAAAAATATTCATATTGCTTCATTTTACATGCAACTTAATGAGCCCATGTCATGTTGGCCTTTATAATAAATAGTATTTAATTTTGGATGAGTAAAAAGAAAACATGGTTAAGGCCCTAATAACTCCAATTTTTATAATTGAATGAAGTATGGATAATACCCTTATCTTTTCCAATCTAATAATATATATTTAGGCATTTATATTTATGTTTGTATCCACATATGACCCCGTTTTCAAAAAAAAAAAAAAAGTTATTCATTCGGGATTCAGGATAAGATTACCTATATTCTTTTGATTTCTAGGTAAATTATACAATGATTTTTTTAGCTATAAAAAGTCATTGTTAGAATAAAGAAAAATTAATTATCTATCTAGAAGATAGGTATCACTTATTCAAATAAATAATAGCTAAGGAAAGTAATTTTTTCATGAATACCTTATATGAATCTGAAAAAAAAATAACATTGGAAAAGTATCAATGAGACAATGACAACGAGGTCATAAAATTAATATGCATTTATTAATTTCGTTGGCTTGAATGTTGTAATGATTAACTAGCAGGGACCCGTGCGATGCTAATAAAACCCAATGCCTAATTTGCTGGTAAAAAGGATCAAAAGGATATACTGAATGTCAGGCATATGCTTAATCAATTATTAATTTTCAAGAATTGTATATTGGTTAAATAATCAATAAATTTTCCATAATTTCCCAAAATTGCATTAAATTATCTTTTATTTTCAAATAAAATTAATCAATAATTATCTGAAACCGTAATTATAATTTTTAGAAATGTAATAATTACTAAAATTTTAAGGAAATGTTGATAATAATTTATTAATAAATATTAACAGTAATTTATTAATAAATTATTTATTTGTAGTTATTTTCAGAAATTACTATTATTATTTTTTTAAAATTTAAATAACTATTAATAATTAATAATTATAAATAACAAATTATTAATAATAGTAATGCTTTAATTATACTAATTTATTAATTAATGTATTAAGTATACATTATAGTTATTGAAATTACTGTAATTATACTTATTTATTAATTAATGCATTACTAATTTATTAATCTGGTTGGACTAGACCGGTTCTAAAAATGAACTGAACTGGTGTATTATTTAAAATGAATTAAAGAGTGTGTTAATAAAACCAAAATGGACCGGCTCGTTGAAAAAGAGATGGACCGGTGTGATTAGACCAAAGGTGAACTAACTTTCAAGTTTTAAATTTAAATAGTGGGTTTGGAATCGGATCTGGAGCGGCTGCCCAAAATCCATCCCATTAAATTCATCTTCCTAACCCAACAACATAGTTTGACGCAAGTGAACAAATCAAAACAGGGGTGAGATATCCACCCTTGTTTCCCTCCCAAATGCCGTCCAAACGAATTCGTTGGCGATTAAAACCTCGTAAACAGCTAATAGGTTTTAAAAAAAAAAAAAATTATGTGAAAGGCATAATGGAAGAATGAACAACCGCTGATTGGACTGTGTTTGATGTTGATCGTTCGTATGCCTCTCCACAAATCTCAAATTATTATTTTCCAAAAAATGACTGGTGCAGCAATGCAAGCTATTGTTCTCTGTTTGTTCATGCTCTCCTCCATCTTTTAACGTCAACAAGTCCGAGGCCATGGGACTGGTGCATCTATGAGAGAGAGAACTCTTTTAGAAAGTGAAAGCCCAAACAACAACTGGTTCTCGTCATGTTCGTGCTCTCTCTATTTTTGCTCTCCCCCCTGTTTTGATGTTATTCATGGTGAAGCTGTCAGGTTTGGTTTGAAAGATAATGAACACAACCGTAGGTTCTATTTTGAGAGGAATCGTGGGTTAGTTAGCGTGAGAACAATAATCATATTCACAATAAATTATGACTCCACTTTAAATTTGTTTGTTGGGGTGAGAAAGTGTTGAGACTTGAGATCTGATTGGTCTAAGAGCTCAATTTCTTAGCTTTAAAATAATAAAAAAAATCAAAATTTTGTAAAAACGGGAATGGGGATTTTGGATAAAATTGGAAGAGGAAGATGCCACGTGGACTGAGTCACTCTATATAATATAGTATATATTAATCATATTAATCATTATTATACTAATTTTATTTATCATTATTAAATAATTTATGGAAGTAATGATAATCTCTACTAATTAATGGTAATGTATTGATGATTGTTTTTGCTATTTATATTGATTTACGGTCCTGCTTTGTAGATTGGTCCATCTTGCCACGCGAGTACATCCAAGTAATTCTCCAGTTAGGAGCTTTTAGATTGCGCATCATCAATT